AATGTCATAGGCTGCCTTCTTCAGCTCATAGTCCCTTTGAGCCTTCGCCATGTCAATCTCATTCTTGTACTGAGCCGATATTTTCTCCTGCATGGCATGAGCTTCCTGCAGAGAGAGAGTCAAAGAGGGATGGAGAAAGGATGGAGGTGATCAGGATCAATGGGAACAGATGTCTAAAATAAACAGGATGAAGATGCTAAAAATACAGACAGAGTTTAGACAAATGGCACCAGTGACGAGGCGAAGACACACAGTGAAGTGCTCTGTAAACAACCTTCTAGATGATTTAAATGCAGCTTCTATTATTAGCAAGATAAGTATTTATCCAAGTGTTTCTAAAAATAAAGAAAGATCTTCAAACTACATCAGCAAGCCCCATTGACACCTGTTGCAAAGAGAGATCTGTGTAAAAAAATAGCTTTATAGCAATACAGTATTAAAAAAAAAAAAAAAAAACAGCGGCAAAGTGACAGATCTCACCCTAATCACAGCATCTCTCTTGTTTTCGGCCTCTCCAATGCGAGCATCTTTCTGAACCTGTGCTGTTCGGCCTTTCCCCAGAGAATGCAGGTAATCCTGTGTGCCAGCAGGAGAAAAAAGATCTGATGTGCGTTTACTGGTTCAATTTTTAATTCCGAGAATCCGCAAAAATGTACTGAGATCATCTATGATATGATTCTTATAGCGCAAAGAGATACCTGGTCATCATGGACATCTTTGAGGGTGTAGCTGACCACGCTGATGCCCATGTTGACCAGGTCAGAGGAAGCCACCTTAAAAACCTGCTCTGAGAACTTCTTACGGTCCTTGTAGATCTCCTGTAACACAAACGCCTTCGCTGTGATGCAGAAGTTCGCTTTTTGAAATGTATTCATCACACTGAGGTTGTGAATACTGAAGGTGTGTTCTAATAATACCTGTTCTATAATTCAGTTGGATGATAAACTCCATTTATTTACTTTAACTCCTTACCTCAACAGTCAGATGGGCGATGATGGCTCGCTGATGACCTTCAAGCGTCTCCAAGGCGATTTGAGCAATTTCAGCCTCTGACTTTCCCATGAACATCTGGCAGGCTGCAGCTAACATCTGTTTATTCTGACCCTGGATCTTCATCTGTAGGAAACAGCTGCTTGTTTATTATTTAGACAAACACTGACATAAATATTGGGTTCATTTCCTCGATGCACAGTGAAAAAATAGCAAATCGGGAGCTGGGTTTCACGTGCAACTACATGGCACTGTCAGTGTACCTGACCCTAATATTTACATCGGCCTGCTTTAATTAATCAACAGATACAATAACATGCAAAAATAAATAAAAATAAACAATAAAGCAGCAACAAAGTTTACTGTAAACAAAAAGCAAGTAGGAAAAAACATTCTGGTTGCTACGAGTAACTTTATACACCACACAAAATGAATCTTATCTGCTACATGTTAATCTTCTAGTTTACACCTGTCCTTCTGAGAAAGGCCTCCCCTGTTTTGCCAGCAGCAGCACCTGATTCGTCTGCAGTGGTGCACACTGACCTGGGCGATCCCGGTGACAGAGATGGGCACTCCGTGGCGGGTGTAGACTTTATCGCTCTTCACATTCAGAGTCAGAGTGTTCAGGGAAATCCTGGAGAGAGGCCACGTGAGAGATATAATGGGACATATGATTATTGATTCATTTTCATTACTCTAATGGTACATTAGGTGTAGCAATTTCCTCCTTGCTTTTGTTACACTGAGTTGCAAACACAGAGTGTATATAGTAAAAGGGATTTTTTTTAAAAATGTTGGTACTAGACCCAAATGTGGCCCGTGTGGAAGCTAATGTCTTAAATTCAACAGGAAGACGAAGAGAAAGGACTTAAAAAGTAACAGTTTATGAACAGCAGCTGGATGCTTTACACACATTTATTACTAATGACACAGATGTATATGCTCTGTGCTTTAAATGTGTCCCCAAAAGAAATCCTTCATTACTATAAAATTAATTTAAAATGAATTTGTTAATCTTTTTCCCCCTTTTTGCTGCTGAAGTGCTGTTTGCCTTCTCATCGTGTTACTCAATTTGTCACTTAAAATATAAAATATATCGGCCAAATGTCAACAGTGTTTGCAGAAACATCAGGAAGTAAACTAATGGGATACAGGGGAACATAAATAAACTTTGTGGTTTGTTTACCTCTGTATCTGCTGAACGCAGGGGATGATGAACACTCGGCCTCCGGCTATCATGAGAGGTGGAGAACGGCAGAAACCTGGGAGAGATCAGAGACCGCGCTGAGCATCACAGGGACAGTTTAAACATTTACTACTTCATGATAAAAACAAATTCAACAAACTTCCATCACAAATCAAGTTCTGGTTTATGTTTGTGTTCAGAACTACAGACCCATTAAAAATCTGAATTTTTTCTCTCCTTTAGAGAAGTCTAGGGCACCAGCTAAAGGTTTTGGAACATTTTTGTTTGCCTTGATGTGACAGCCATCACATGTGCGTTAATTAATGAAAAGCAACAGTTATGTATTAGTTTGATGTTATAGTTTCTTAAGTTGTTTAGATTTCAACAAAGCAGTACAAGGCATCATTTTACCTGATACCACCATAGCCTCGTTGGGACCACAGGTGTAGAACATGTTTGCTGATCCTCCTTCAGACTAAAAAACCAACAAAAATGAAAGAATAATTATTTAACAAAAACACTTTTATAAAGGACTTGTTTAGAAAATCCATCAACAAACGCATAAGGCCGGAATCGCGAAGTTATTATACGAAATATAATTTTAAAAACACTTGAAATATTTTATTAGTTTCTTTTCAGAGGCTAAATATGCAAGCATCAGAAATCACAATGATCAGCTCACTCCCAGAAGAAAAGGAGTGGATGTGATGGTGGTGGCCAGACAGAGGAGCAGCAGACCAGCGGAAAAAATCTAATTAGCGCAAACATTGCGCAGTAAAAAGCCCAAGAAAAGCTGCAACAAACGCAAAACCCCGAAGCTCACAAACAAGATCAACAGAGAGATCAAGATTTTAAAATATGTGCAGCAAAACAAATATGAAGTGCAGGCTGTTTATCTGTTAGCTTAACTCAAACAATTTCAGCTACATCTGTGTTTACACTCGATGAATGTGGATACAGAGAAAATATGACGACACACTCACCGATTAGTGTACAAACGACGTGGTTTAGGTGGAGTAGAGTGAAAAGCGATGAATAATTGGCCGCTCAGATTAATGAGTTTTCATCCCAGGTGACGTTTTCTCTCGTTGGATACGAAATGATGCGGTTAGTGAATAATAAGGCTGCAGCTCAGTGGCTCCAATAGAGCACGCCCATTCAGCAAACTTTGTGCTTCCGCCATCTAGTGGCGAGGTGGGGAAACGTCATTTTTCAGGTGGAAAGCAACTAAATACATTTATTAAAGTAGAGTTAATAGTTCAATTTTCTACAACTTTGAATTTTATTATTAAACACTATTATTATCTTGTATATCTCTCACTTCTGATTTTAATTCATTTCCATGGTGGATTTGCTTGTTTCAATCTAGCTAAAAGGTGCGAGATGGGAATGTATAATTATTATTATCATTATTATTATTATTATTAATTATTTTTTAAATTATTATTAATTAAAAAATATTTTAAAATGCCTCTTCAAATGACAAAAAGCTAAAGTCATTTTCTTGTATGCTTTTATTTTCTTGTAGGCAGTTCTTTAAGTTTTCTTGTTTGTTTGTTTTTTATTTTAGTTAACTAAAATGTTTTTACACCAACTAGCTTTGGTATAATGTCGCTTATGCGTATGACTCCAAATTATTCAAAAGTACATTTAAGAAAATTGCACTGTCAAAGAAATATAGTTTAAAATATTATCTAACAGTAGCAGCATATGTGTGACTCCTCAATCATTGCTGGAAAAGTATAACACTTTAACATTAAATCTTCCTTTCAAAACACAGACTATTGAATTATTCTAACAACTATATCTATATATCATAATAAAATATATATTACTAAACGTGATGCTCTATTGGATTCCGATCCAGTGACTGTAGAGGAGATTTGAGTACAGTGAATTCATTGTCATGTTCTCAAATTCCACCTGAATGCCACAGCAGAAATCAACACTCATCAGACCAGACAACAGTTTCCCAATCTTTTAATGTCCAAATTTGGTGAGCCTGTGCAAACTTTATCCTTGGTTTCCTGTTCTTAGATGACAGATGGCACCCAGTGTGATCTTCTGCTGCCGTAGCCCATCTGCTTCAGTTTGATGAGCTGTTACATTCAGAGATGCTCTTCTGCATACCCTGATTATTTAAGCTACCATTGCCTGCCCAGCTTGAAGCAGTCTGGCCTCTGATCTCTGAAATCAAGACACTCTCCCCTAGAGAGCTGCTGCTCACTGGAACATCAGCAGATTGTCTTGATCATGTTTATATTCCTAAATGCACTCAGTTGCTGTTGTGGTTGACTAATTAGATATTTTGAATTTCTCAGTTGAACAGGTGTACCTATCAAAGTGGCTGGTGAGTGTATATATTTGTGTTCATACTATTAAAAACGTCAGGACCTTACATTTAATGTGACGCTAACGCCTGAGTCCATTATCTCCTTTATTCTAACTGGATGATGGATGCTGCTGATTATGGTGTAGAAGGTGTAACTTTTTACTCTTCATATACAGGCTTTAAAATTCACATTAGTGTTCTGATGAAATATTTTCTTCTGAAAACGTAGAGGAGCAGAAAAAGGAAATACTCGAGTAAAGCATCTGAAATCCACTACTTCGTTACTTTCCAGCTTTTGTTTGGAGCTCCAACGAGGCAGTGATGACAACACCCGGCACTCCTTCTCCTCTTCCGGTCCTTGCCTCAGAGGGAAGGAAACCCCTTTGGGGGAAAAAAAGCTCAACGTTCAACCAATCAGCTCCAAAGCCGCAGACAGAATAACCAATCATTAGCCTGGACTAAGCTATGCCCCACCCCCCGAAGCCAGCTGGACTCAGCGCTGCCACAAACTCTGCACAGTCAGTAGGTCAGCAGCCTTCACTTACTTCCAGCGCTCTCTGCTCCATCACCAACTGTCCATCCATCATGAGGGAAATCGTGCACATCCAGGCCGGCCAGTGCGGGAACCAGATTGGTGCTAAGGTAAGAAAAGCTAGTGATGAAAAAAAAAAACCACCTTTTCTCTTCTTTTTTGTCGTTATTTATTTATTTACCAGTTTAATAAAGTTTTTGTTCAAAGTTTTTCATTTTTAAATCATTTAAATTGCTGCTCCTTTTGTACAGTTTCAATACATACTTACTCTGTATTAAATCATGAAATTACATAAACTGATTAATTCCTGTAATTTACTAAGAGGACTTTTGTTTTTTATTTTTTTAAATGTACAAACCTTTAACTGGACCCAGAACAATTGAGAGTTCCATTGTTTTCCCCCACTCCCCCTCCCCCTGACCATTTAAAAGTTACAGTATTCTTTTATACTTTAGCTAACCTCTTTGTAACCTACTTTCATCTAAAGGGGAATGTGCATATTTTCTGTTTTTATCATATGTTACATGAGTCTTGGATTTTTTTAGGTAAAAGATTGACAGAGCTGATCTAATCCTTTTATTAATAGATTGAAGCACTCTTAGGCAGAAACAATAAATCAGTGTAACAATAACTTTGCTATTACATATGATAATTTTTAATGAAGTATTATGAAGCTGTAGGATCTGACAAAAGAATGTAATACATGGCATATTAATTACAGCAATATAATAAGACTTCTGTCTAGCAGTAGTCTTTCATGCTTTCTCTGCACATGAATACAGTAACATTTGCAGATTTGTAACTGCAGGCAAAACAGTGACTCCAGTCACTGAGCTGTGATTAATGAAGCTGGCCAGAGCGGAGCCGACTCACAGGGCCAGCTGCTGCCTTGGCTGCCTGTTGAGCTCGAGTCTTTGTCATCGAGGAGAAAGAAAAAAACAAGAGAAAAGGGTGAAAAGAAAGGAGAAATTTGCTGAGGCAGAGGAGAGGAACGCAGCAGGAGGAGGGTGAAGGGGGAGGAAGATAACAAGTGGTTCAGTGTCTACGCTGAATGCACAGATGAGGTCATTTAAATGGCTGCCTTTTCCAGGCAGTGTGACACATGTCCACGCCCCAGACCCCCCAAACCAGCAGTCCTCATCCCTGTTTACCCATGGGTAATAGGAAGGCTTCTCTATTTATCTGCATTTTGTTGGAACAGTTTAAAGGATTTCTTGGATCCTACAGCTACTTACCTCAAGCTGCAGCAGTTAGTGGATCAGTCAAGGGATTCAAAATGAATCCAGTGAAATACGGTTGTAAAAATCCCCCCAAACCACAGTTCAAAACATGATTTTTAGGCCACGGTTTCAGAACATATTTCAGTTTTTCTTCAGATGGATTAAAAGAAAGAGAAAAGACAAATGCTTCGAGATTTGTCCTGGATGCTCTTTGCTCTTTGATCAGAAAAAAATCCTTTATAAATGCCGGTCCAAGGAGAAGAATAAACTCCATTATTCTCCTTTTCGCATTAACTAAAAACACTCAGACATTACAGCTTTTAACAGCATGCTCTAACTCTGCATTAATATTTCAAGCTGCAACCACAGTATAATTTAATTTGTAAGGTTATTCTGCCTCCTTTATGGAAGTGTCCCAATAGATTAATTCAGCAATGAATTGTTTCAGCTATATAAAGGAGACGTTTTCTTTAAAAACAAGCATGCAACCCTTGCTTTCCTTAGAAATTACGGATATTTTTTACTTTTTTGGAGATTTTATTGACTGATTAGTTAATTAAGAAGATAATACACAAGGTAAAGCTTTAAAATATTGTACATGCAGCCATACAGTCACAGTTTTATCAACTAGATTTTCAGTAAACTCTACAATTAAATAAGAATGAATCACTTATACAAGAACTACTTTAGATATCATAAAACAGCTTAAACATTGCGTGCTATGTAGCAGCATAACAGCCACCAGGTCATGTGATTTTAAGAATGTGATTCTATATATAACTTGAATTTTATTCGTACATTTGGCCTGTTCTGCCCTCGTACAGCTCAGCACAACAGCGGGTGGGGCAGCAGCATATGGGCTGACTTAGTCTCTGCTACTCAAAGGTCCTGATCGGTGAAGACAAGTGTATTTACAGCGGACTTAGTGAGGCTGAGGTCATTTCACAATGGATTAACTGTGCCTGAATTCACCTGCTTACCCAATCCAACCCAAATCTGCTGAGCTTTCCCACGTTTCTGGATAACTTCTCATAGATTACGACTGAACGGAGGCTTAGGTCTTCAAATATTGACTTCAAACCTGCCAGCTCACATGCGGTTTGCAATTTCAGAAATCCTGAAGTGTATGTTTTTGCCTTGGACAAACCAACCTTTCCCCTGCTTATCTCTTTCCCTTAGACACACACACAGATTAGGGTCACTTGACTGAGCTGGTGTGACAGTCTGTTGATGTTTCAACCCGTGAAACACAAAATCCTCTGAGAGAGTCCTGACCCTCTGACAGCAAATAGAACAAAAAGTTTTACTACTTCAAGCTGTGGGCAACTTTTTATGAGTCTGTGTGTGATTCACTGAACCAGCTGGAAAAATCCAGGTGGGGATAATTACACGACTTCCTCCCTGCCTTTCCTTTCTAAACTCCAATCATAGCTGAACTACAAACACATTAAAATATTTTCATTCAGCCAGATTAATGTGCTGTTAGCCTTTTAAATAGCCGCAAAACTTTAAACTTCAGGGTAAAAACTGCTCATAAAAAGAACATTATCTGGTATCAGTTTATCTTTGAAGTCTTTTTAAGCGAACATGTCAGCTCTAGCTTTCAGATATAAATATTTGTTGCTTTTTTTCTCAGTTTTCTATCATTAAACTCACTGAACTGTATCGGAAGTTGTGAATTTCTCAGCATTTTTAATCTAAATGACAGATTATGTATTCATCACGTGACTGCGTGATTAAAATAAATCTGAGCTGCCGTGTGTGCTTGTTCTTGTTTGCTTCTTTTATGCTCGTTTCTCATCAGCCTCCTGTACTTCCTCCTGTTTTCCTGTCCAGGTGTCAAAGCTTTGAAACTGCTTTGGCTTGTGCTTCTTCCAGGAAGTTTCACTCAGAGCAGAAACCAAATATATCCACAAGACGTACCTTTGATTATTTACTGGCATGAGACATAAAAGCACTGAGTGTATTTTGTGCAGTCAGACCAGCTGTGGCAGACCCAGAGTTTGTCTTCATATCCATCTATTTTCTTCACCACTTATACTGTTGGGAGTGTTTGTAAAACATGTTTTTACAGGGAGTTTCCTTGAAATCAAAAGAGGGCTGTTTGCACTGTTATCAGATTGTCTCGTCCACCCTCTCCATGTGATTTGCAACGTTTGCAAACTTGAGTCACATGCAGGCATCTTCTTTACTGTTTCTACACTGTGTTCACACTCAGAGACTTAAGCTGAAAAAACTCTGTAGCCTGACATCTTCTGTGTAGGAGATTTATTGAGGGACTCAATAAGAAATCTGAGCTATAAGTGAGAATCAATACTGCCACTGATATTGAGACATTATTAAAAGCATTTGTTTAGTCTAAGAGCTCCACAGCATGTTCAGCCAAAATTAGTTTAATGGTTGGAATGGAACCACGAGGTGACTGTTTGTCGCAGGAAATCCTTCCTGCGGTCTTACAGAACACGTCGCTGTTTTTAGGTGATCTTGTGAGTGCTAACTGTGATCATATGTCAGCTAGTCTTTGGGAAGCACAGAGGTCAGAAGACTCTTGTTTTTCTTCTAAATTTGTTTGCAGTTATGTCCTAAGTAACACCACAAAGACACCTCTTTGTGAGATGTTTCCTAACTTTGAAAAACCTTATTGAGTACTCTGTTAGCTCTTTAGTTATGATGACACATGGATGGCTCAGGGGTAAAAAAAGTGCTTAGTATTGTGCTCGCTTCACATCATTAAGCTCATTAAGTGTATAAAACACTGACATGTGGATGCTTTCTGTATTAGTTCTTGCAGTAACAGCTTGTCCACCTTCACCTTTATTTAGTTCTGGGAGGTGATCAGCGACGAGCACGGCATCGACCCGACGGGCACCTACCACGGAGACAGCGACCTGCAGCTGGACAGGATCAGCGTGTACTACAATGAAGCCACAGGTGAGTTCATCCCGACTACAGCGAGGTCTGTGTTTGATCAAATGAAAGAAGACATCTCCTCCCTGTGGAGACACCGGCTCACTGCAGCAGAGAAGCAGAAGATGCAGATATAAATAAAGCAATGAAGCACTAATTTTTTGTTCGCTGGTTTCACATTGTTACAGGTGAGGATGTGTTATCTTCACCTGTTCTCATGATGACGTTTATTAGGGGGGCATGCTGCCTTAAAATGCCAGAAACACAAGCATGCATTAAACAAAGGTAGTTTATCCTGAAAAACATTTGTACCAAACTCTGTTTGACACAGTGATAGTGGACTATGTCAGCCTTAATTATTCCCAGTCAGAGCCTCAAATGTAGCCCAGCAGCCAGAAGGAGTCTGCCAAAGGCTTCATCCCACTGCTCTGGATGGCTTTAAACATTGCAGTGGAGTCAGTAATTACTCATTTAGTTTCAGTAGCATACGTTTTCATGGCGTGGTGATGCCAGCATTGGCTTACTACTACCAGTAAAAAAAAACTAGAGAAAGTCAAAAGTATTTCTGGAACCAGACGAGTTGTTCAAAACATAAAATCATAAAATACTGTTTCTGTTTGGTTCTGAAAACTTAACGTCTGCCTTTTACTTTGGTCTAAAAATGATATTGAACATGTTACGCTCTCCTAAAAAGGTCCTAAAAAGTAACAACAGGTGTCCAGGTTGAAAAAGGAGACAAGGAAGCAAAACTGTTAAATTAAAGGGTTTTATTAATGTTTCTACTACTAACTAAACTAAGAGAGACGAACAAGCCGACATCACCTTAATTAAATTAAATTAGTTTTTCACATCCTTGCTTGCTTTTTGTTTTCCTAGTTTAGATTGTTGTTAGTTGTTTGCTTGCTGTAGTGCTGTCTCAACAGGACCTCATAACATAGTTTTATTCCCTCTTGTGCTTCTTGTCTCCTTTCTGAACAACAATAAATCTCTTGAACCTCAAAAACCTCTGAGGGCTGTTTGTTGTAAATATAACTTGTTATGCAGAGGTTTAACTTGTCCACCCTCTTGAGATCAAACTCGACTGTTTGCGGCCGTGAACTAAAACGAGTTTGACACTTCTGCCTTCAGTTGTTGCATAAACCTAATTTAACCTGACAGCCTAAAGCAGCCCAAAGTAAAGCTGAAAAATCACAGGCTGACTCAGGAGCTAAGAAACTAAATAAAATGGGCATTTTATTTTAATGAATGAAAATGAGCTGGATAAGCTTCGCGGAAAGCTCACAGGAGTAAATGGTCTGTTAAATATGCAGTTTAGCCTCAGTGTGTTGAGTCTAGACATCTTGTAACTTTGCAGTAAATGTCTCCATCTAGTGGCCACATGAGATACTACAATCATCGTTCAGCTTTCTTTCTTTTTACACTTACAGCTCCTACAGGTTAAGATCCTTTTGTTAATCTTTTATTTCATCTCTCTTTGTGTCTATTTTAATATATGCAGGTGGGAAGTACGTGCCCAGGGCCATCCTAGTTGACCTGGAGCCAGGAACCATGGACTCAGTCCGTTCTGGACCCTTTGGGCAAATCTTCAGACCCGACAACTTTGTCTTTGGTAAGAACACCACCTACTGAACAGGATGGGCTGCACTCGCTGAACACATGAACTGTTTACACATGAACTTTGGTCAGTTTTGGGACAATCAGGTCAGATTTTCCACTGTTTTTTTCCTCACATGTAGCATGCAGCAGGTACTGGTCTGCTCCACATGCACTCACATTGTTACTGTTACTGTGTAACTGTGTTATTAAAGTGAAGGAGCTGCCTGGATAGAGTGGGCAGGAGGGAGCACATTTGACTCCCACTCACTAACTGGGCAGGTAGCTGCTCTATGGGCACATCATCACGATCAACAGTCACTTGGACATGTAGAGTGGGGAGCTGGGCGGTTAAAAACCAGCTCATGTTTGACTGGACAGCACTGGACATTTGCATTATCACATGCGCCTCTTTCAGGTCATCTCTAGAAAAGTTCAAGCCTGTGGTGCATGTGTGAAAACAGCTATAAAGTTAAAAAGTATCAGATGGTCTGGAGCTGTCAGGGTTTGGACTCCTGATGAGTATCTTTGCTGCTCTATTTTGTGGCTAAAGTCACATCGAGTCCATCGGTCAAATTTAGCTCAACAGACTGTCCTACATGGCACAAACAAGCTCACTCCTGCCATAAAATCCCAGCATGAAACCCTCTGGGACCTGAGCTGACTGATTCTGACTCAGTACGATGCTTCAAAGCCAGGCTGACTTTCCTTTGTTGCTCTTTCCTTTCGCAAACACTGGGAAAAATGTTTTCTTAAACAGTTTGACTAAAAACTGAAACAGTATAATCAGCTTCACTTTTGTTTCCCAGGTCAAAGTGGGGCAGGAAACAACTGGGCTAAAGGTCACTACACGGAGGGGGCCGAGCTGGTGGATTCAGTCCTGGACGTGGTGAGGAAAGAGGCCGAGAGCTGCGAGTGCCTGCAGGGTTTCCAGCTCACGCACTCTCTGGGAGGAGGCACCGGCTCCGGCATGGGAACCCTGCTCATCAGCAAGATCAGAGAGGAGTACCCCGACCGCATCATGAACACCTTCAGTGTGGTGCCCTCCCCTAAGGTAGAGCATTGCCCCACAGGATGCACTTTTTAAAAATGACCTTTCAGTGCTTACTTATGGTAGTTTTAGAAGTCTGAGCATAGACTGCACAATAAAAGATCAGAAAAGTGAAGCCGTAAATCTGTGTTCGCTCTAATAATCAGCACGAGGCAAAGTCTGTAAGACCTCAGCACCTCAGTAAACACTTTCTTGATGACTTTGTGTTTTCAGTTGCTAGTTTTAAGTCATATTGAAAATAATATAATGTCCATTTTGTAAATTATGTCCCAACAACGGTCAGAAATGAAGATAAAGCTGAGTATGAGTGACAGGTTGGCATATATCAGTGCGCATATATCTGTGTTCAGCACTTTGAACTATGGGAAATAAATCTACTGCACAATAAATCACCTGTTTGTTTATAATAAATGTTCATGCTATTTCTGCATCAGCCATGAGTATCGACGTTTCCTCTCGCTCTGTCTTCAGGTATCAGACACGGTGGTGGAGCCCTACAACGCCACGCTGTCCGTTCACCAGCTGGTAGAAAACACAGATGAGACCTACTGCATTGACAACGAAGCTCTTTATGACATTTGCTTCCGCACCCTCAAGCTCACTACGCCCACCTACGGCGACCTGAACCACCTGGTTTCGGCCACCATGAGCGGCGTGACCACCTGTCTGCGTTTCCCCGGGCAGCTGAACGCCGATCTGAGGAAGCTGGCCGTCAACATGGTGCCCTTCCCTCGTCTCCACTTCTTCATGCCCGGCTTCGCCCCTCTCACCAGCCGGGGGAGCCAGCAGTACCGCGCCCTCACCGTGCCGGAGCTCACCCAGCAGGTGTTCGACGCCAAAAACATGATGGCAGCTTGCGACCCTCGCCACGGACGCTACCTGACGGTGGCCGCCGTGTTCCGTGGGCGCATGTCCATGAAGGAGGTGGATGAGCAGATGCTGAACGTCCAAAACAAGAACAGCAGCTACTTTGTGGAGTGGATCCCCAACAATGTCAAGACGGCCGTCTGCGACATTCCGCCGCGAGGCCTCAAGATGGCCGTCACCTTCATCGGCAACAGCACGGCCATTCAGGAGCTGTTCAAGCGCATCTCCGAGCAGTTTACGGCCATGTTCCGCCGCAAGGCCTTCCTCCACTGGTACACCGGCGAGGGCATGGATGAGATGGAGTTCACCGAGGCAGAGAGCAACATGAACGACCTGGTGTCAGAGTATCAGCAGTACCAGGACGCCACCGCCGAGGAGGAGGGGGAGTTTGAGGAGGAGGTGGAGGAAGATGCCTAAGCGAAAGCAAGAAAAAAATGATAAAAGGAGGGAAAAGTTATTAATCAAAAACAAACAAAAACATAGAAAAAAATAAAAAATGATGTGAAATGAAGGAATGTAGGAGAGCAGATGAGGAAGGTCAGAGGAGGGTGGAGGTCTGAATCGGTTAATAGGACAGAAGAAGAGCGGAGAATGTAGACAGAAGGAAAGATGATGTCATGACCAAATTAATGTGCCATGGTTTACTGTTTCATAAGCCGGTTTGATCAAAACTAGTCTCCCAAAATCTTTGTTTTTAACTCTAAACAGACGCACTTCTAACACTTTTTATTTCATTGCATACAAGGATTTTCTTTACTGTGAAGGATTCAGCTGCTGTTACACTGAGGTCAAACCAAACCCTGCTCCTACATTCAATCAAACAAGCTTAGTGTTTGACCTGCGATCAAAAACACACTTTCAGCCTCAGTGAAAAAATCATCTTCGGACTTCTTTGCTGATTTTGTGCAGAAGAGGTGGAAAGTGTATCTGTGACGCCTGATTCAAAACAAATAACTGAGCTGTGCAGTCGCACTGGGCGGCCTCTTCATGTTTGGCATCAGCTGATTGTTGGTTTTGGTCTTTTCATTGAGTTTGTTGAACAAAATTAGAAAATCATGTCGGCGTAATCAAGGTTATCACATTGAGTGTTGAGATAGTTTCAGGTGTGTAACCTCGTAGTCAGTTTAAGTAATAATAAATCATTCTGTTATCAGTGTTATTTACCGTTTTGTCTCAGCTTTCAAGATCAACTCTCAGTGATAAATGTGATTTTGGGCAGCAGGTGAGAAAACGTTATCAGTATTTCTTCTTCTGAGGCAGATATGCTTAATTAGCTGGATAATCTCTCATTTTTGACGCTTTTGTCGCAACCTTTTTAAGACTGCATGAGATAAAGAGTCCTGTGTGAGTCAGTCTTACGCTTGCAGAATATATTTTTTCTTTTCCGGACATCAGGGTTTGCACCTTTGTGTAAATGTCTTTCCAGCCTCTGTGAACTCAGAGAGTTGTTTTTCTACAGCGTCGTGCTGTCATTAGCTTTTGTGGGGAAGAGCCATTCTGGTCTTACTAGACTGAAGGGAGCCATCAGTTACAATCAGGCCATTAATCTTTTCTTTTTCTTTTTTTTTAAATGAAAGCACAAGATTGAAAGTTAATGTCAAAGACGGGAACATCTGTTATCTTCTAGTAAATACAGATTCTTAGAAGTGGTTAACCACAACAAAAGTCACATTTAGTAAAACGTCAAAGAAAATGATTTGCTTTCCTGTGATATATACATTGGCAGAGCGTTCATAGCAGCAGGATTTTTCTCAGACGCCAGCCAACGTTTTGAGGAGAAACACACTGCACATGCTCAGTGTCCATTATACTAGTAAGTACAGATCCCTTGAAGTGATTAGCCACAACAAAAGTCCCATTCAATGGATTTCCAAGAAACACATTCATTTTTAGATATATATTTATTACCAACCAATGTCAGAGGAGAAGCGCACTGCACATAACAACTGCTCTGTTTTCCTTTCATACCACATCTCAGGCTAACAGAGCCCTCAGCTCCTCTGTGTTAAAAGCATGTCGGCTGTTGTTGGATTAACCAATTCAATGGGACATTTTCCAATAAAAAAAAAGTATTTAAATTCAAGCAAAGAAACATAAATCTGAGTGTTAAAAAAGTCAGAGTGACAGGAAAGATCAGCGTCTTTGAAGAGTTAACGTTGTGGATAAAAGTTGAAACCTTCCCTCACTATTATTATAACCTCACTATTCAGGCCAACATCTGAAGATCTGAAGTCTAACCTTAACATTTCCTGAAACATGTTTTAAAAATAAAATGGCCAGGTGCTTTTATTTTGAAAGACAAACCCCCCAGCTGCTTTGCAGTTTTATATTTCATCCTTCAACATATTAATTTAATTTTTCATTCTCCTAAATCTTTTCACACTGAGCCACTACAGTATGCACGTGAACTTCAGCCATGTTTTCGTTGTGTTTCCTCTGTGCTTCATGTTGTTTGTACTTTTTTTTATTTTGAAGCTCATTTGAAACTGTTTCATTTGGTATCCTGTTGACTGTGAAACATTTGGGAGAAATAAAAACACATTTATAGGAAAAAATTGCCTGCCGTGTCAGTCATTATTAATGATCAGCTTTTAGTCTGCTTGTAAACAGCTTTCAGCGTCAGCTTTCAGGAAGTCGGTACAATATTATAACAGCAATAAACCGAGTGAGAGCTGCAGGCAAAAGCAAACATCCAAAACATATTTTCCCATCAAAGCAAAGTTAGATTTCTTGAGCTGAAAAGTGTTTTTAATCTCATTTCTTTATTTATCTTGGTATTTCTTTCAGAAATTTTTAGCTTTATTTATTAGTTAATATGAAATAAGCAGGAACCGTCAGTGGATAGGATAGTGGTGTTGAGAGCTGATCAGTTTTAAACAAGCATGTCTGAGAGCATTTGCTACTTAGACAAGAGTAGACTTTAAATTTTGGGAAGAAGGTGGTTTCCAGAAGATTTGAGACGTGTTTCCCAACGTGAGGGACATAGCAGAAACCAAATAGTCTCTCAGTCTTTCCTCGTTTCCTCATGGTGTAACATGTGGGAAACTGGAAATCAGAGAACAATCCAACAGGAGTGGGTGAGAGTGGGCCAGCCAGACTTTCTGATTGGTTTAAGGTGAAAGGGGAAATTGGAGAATATAATGAAGTGCAGGGCAGAAGTAACAAATTAGCAAACCAGAAGATACTGTGGCTTGAACAGAAGGAGCAGGGCCAGGTTTAAAGATCTCCCATCTATACTTAAACTCCCGTTTTTCCTTTCACCTTACACCAATCAGAAAGTCTGGCTGGCCCACTCTCACCCACTCCTGGTGAGAGTGTGTCTGCCAGAGAGCTCCAGAGAACAGGGAAGAAAAAAGTAAGAGCAGGACAGAGGAGGCCATAACAGCTACACAGGTAAGAAACAAGGGATTAAATACAAATAACCAAAACATAGTCAAACAGGGTTAAAGTTGATCCTGTTTTCTGCTAATGTACATCTTAAATCTGGGTACCTATACTGTATACACTGCAGATGCATATACTTAAAACATGATACATCAGTAAATACATAGATCAATAAGCACAAACACAACTGCCTCAATAAAAATTAGCAGGAGTGATCCCTTTCACTCTGTGGGGGGAGGAGGTTACCATCTGCTGCAGTGCTCGTTGCTCTTTGAAGATTTTCATTATAACTCCTCTGTGTGTTTGGGGTCGCTGTGCTGCTGCAGAGCAAATCTGAGGCCCATCAGAGGCTCCCCTAGTGATGAATGAGCATCTAAACATCTTCAGCACATATGCACGTCAAGTCTGGACAACTAATTCAAGTATAATAATGTCCAGACTCCACAAATAGGCAGATAAATAGCACTTATACAGGGCCTGCACCTCTGGCAGGTCGAGGCTGTGATTCAGTCGAAGACAGTGACGCTGGGGGCTGGCATAAATCAGGACCTTGGACAGCATCAACAGAGAAGTACAAGTCAGGAAATCGGGATCTTGGTCAGCACCTCCACAGTAAGCCGGGAAGATGAAAGACCGCGCTAATTTACATCCAACATAGATCTCTTGTTGATTTATTGCTAACAGTGTAAAACAGAAATGACCCTCTGGGTCAGTCCAGATTTTTGCATCCATTCTAAGACAAATAAATAAATAAATAAAGTAGAATAATACAGTGCATTAGACTATGAAAATGTTTCAATAAAGTAAAGTCTTTTTTTCACATAAATGAAATGTGATGAGTCAAAGTGGCTCAGTTAATATTTTTTTAATAAAATTAAAATATAAAAATTGTAAAACAATTATTTTTAGAAACTGACAACAAATGTGTTCAATCTAGTAAAATGCAATAAAAAAACAGAGAGTCTAAAAACTGCCCAAACTTACTGGAGAAGAGTGCTGTCAATCATTCTCTGGCACAATGACAAGAGCTGTTCCAGTACTGCTTTTACTACTTTTCTGCTTGTGTTAAGATGCTGGTGCAGTAACATTAAGCACTGCTGCTTGTAAACAGTTGTTCCACACTAAAATGAATTTAAAAACACCTACAAACAACCATGACTGATGAGCACCTGTGGCCTGGTATACAGAGGTCTAGTATACCTCCAAATTACATCGATGAGTTTATTCTACTATTTAGCAGCAAACACAAACAAAAAGAGAACAGCTGTTTTTTAAAATGCTGTTTTAAAGCAGAGCTCACCCAGCTGGGTGATGGCTTAGAATAGGAAGAAAAGATGCATATTAAGTTACTCCCACCTCATGTATGCTTTAGCTGTTGATCACACATGTATGCAATAAATTAATCTGATGAAACACAGAAGCACAGTCTAACAACTTGTTGTGATTTGGCTACACATCTGCAGGGAGTTATTTTCAATACTTTTGTGATTTTAGACTAAAAAGAGATAACTATACACAGTTAGAAGTTGCTATGGTAACTTGCCAGCCCCTTAAATTACAGCTCAATAAAAACTGGAAATTGGGTCTTTGCACCTCATACTGACATTACTCTCTGTGAATACATGATCAGACTTTATTACAGGATGCCAGCTTAAACTGAGAAACTTGATCTGATTTGCACCCGCTCTCTTATATTAATAACTAATATGCCAATCTGCTTTCTAATTTTGTCTGCCCTACATCCATTGGTTAATAATTTTCTGCCTTTGCAACATTAGCATCATGTTATCTGTACATCTTTAGGATATCTGTTGAATTTACTGTAGATATGCAGCATATTAATGCAAATGCTGAATATTTGCATTAATACACAACAGAGGAACTTTTATTATTGCAGCACTGGAGCTCTATGTGTGCACTGTGACAGTGCACAGTACGAAGCTGCCCAATGTCTTCATTAGAACATAATGCAAATCTTTTTGCCGACTCAGCAAAATGCGTTTTAATGACACTGCAAAAGCTTCTGCATGTTTTATACAGCTTAAGGGGTTTTCTTTCTTTTTTTTTGCAGCGTGTTAATCACATTGTGCTTGTGATCAACAGGAGACCATTCACATGCCACTTAATATTGATTTTAAAAGGTGCGTCTGTCACTTCCTGTAATTGGCTTTCTTCATTCATGGTTGTCTACCACTTCATGGATTAAATATGTCTGTGTTTTTATGTGAATCTTGTTGATTGCAAAGGAACAAAGCGCTTTAATGTAACTGAAAAAAATAAGAGACGAGCACATGCTGTTAGAAATAAATACTATAAAATAATAATTGTGTAAATGTACGAAAAACGTTAATGCAAAAAAAATTAACATAAAATTGTTTTCGATGGTAATTTTGAACAACAGGCTGGAGAAATCGTGCATGTGTGATGGTGGCCTGAGGTTAAACTGCAGAGCGGTTTCTTGTGGCTCCGAGCCAGAATCGACGCTTTCTACCGAAGCTTTCCGAGCAAAGCCGAAATGAAATGGTCCACAAACCCGACATCAACCGAAAGTCCTCAGCCCACTCCCGAATCGGCCTCATTGAAGTCTCTAGTTGTCGAGTTGGGGGGTGATGGGGTGGACGAGATTGGTGAGATAAAGAAGGAAAAACATTTCCATCACTCCTGAGCCCCTCCCTGTCCAGTGATTTTCGGATCTGAGGCTTGACAAAGGTAATTACCCTCATCCATTTATAATTGCATATTACAACGACTGGTCTTTTTTTCCTCGTGATTTCGCTCAGTCAGGGAGGTAGTGGGTTAAATTCTGCAGTTTTTCTTCGCTGTTTTCACTATTTGCTTGTGTTGAGCGCTCGCACCGGTGATGTAGGGCGTGTAACCACCGGCGGCAGCAGTTACAGGGATTTCCTTCACACAATAATAAAGCAATTAACGCTACATTAGGGGCAAACTTTCTGAATTTCCCGGGAAAATTGCAAATTCCACAGCATTCAGGCAGAAATCAAAGCGCTGCGTTTGTTTGCATGGTGCCACTGCGCACAGTGGCCTCCTCCCTTCTCCTAATTTTGGCTTAATTCTGTAAATTCATTCGTATTTCTGCTGACGCCACTGAAAAAGCAGAGTCTTTGCACTCATGCTGATAATCAGATCGCCAAGTGGTTTAACGCTCGATATGCTGTATAGCGTATGATCCCGTGCTGCCCCTGGCTGTGGTGCATTATCGTGTGCTGTGTTCGGGAAATACCCGTCTGAAAACAGGGTATTTTCCAGGCAGAAACCGTTATGCAATGCACTATAGCACACACCACAGCCTCCCGCTGAAGGGGTGAAGTATTGGTCACTGAAAAGTCATTTACATTTTATTAAGAAAATGGATGGATGAATAAGTGCTGTGGTGAACTGTGGGAAGCCTTGCTTTTATTTTGTGGTAAGTACATGAACCAAGCCACCGGTCTGTGCGTCATATTTATGAAAAATGCTTCTTATTAGGGTTCGTTTTGCTACAAATCTCCTCTAAGTGACGTGCCAATATTTGATTACTCTTTACTTAAACCATAAATTGATGGTTTACTGTTACCCCTCTGACATCTGTGAATTAATGAAACAAAGAGAGTCTCCATTCATGTTCACTCTGTCCCTTTACTCCCCTCCATTTTATCTGGACATCCACAAATTGGGACCGGTCCCATTCATGCTGGTGTTGGTCGTGACACACCCTTGGCTGCACTAGCTGCTGCTTCTGGCTTTGTGAGCTGTATAAGGAGGGGTTAAAGGGGGGATGGGGGTGGAGGTGCAGAAGAGAGTGCATGCAAGTCCACAGAGTGGAGCCAATCTTGAAGGTGCAGCATCTTTAGATTTGAAGTTCCACTGCTGATCACTCTGACTGGAAAATGGACACAAGGGAGAAGCTTTGGATTAGCATTCTGAACATCAGTGATGTTCAGCATTTTTAGGTGGTGCAGAAGGGACCAGGTACCACTTAGGTGTGGCAGGTAGGAAATAGGAAAATGCTACTAGGAAAAAATAGCACTTGAAAATTGAAAAGTCATCGAGTTATAACCATCACAGCTGACCTCCATAAACATGCATTACCAGCATTGTCAGTATAAAAGATGCATGCAGCCACCATCACTCATTAGTAAGGGAAGTGTCAGTTAAGCATTTTCTCTGTTCCCATCTTGGTGTTTTGAAAGTGGATGTCAGGAGTGCACATCAACTTTTACCTCTAATAATGACCAAAGCTTAAAAAAACCCAAACTTCAAGTTTCACTCAGTATGACCTGAAACCACTGAGAGAGCCTATGAAGTCATCAGGAAAGTGTCTACTGAGATTGTGGAGCAAGCTAACAGAGAGCTGTTCTTACAAAGCCTTCTTTGGAAGTTTAGATGAGTCGCCCCCTGCTGGCCATTAAAAGTAATTCAGGTTTAAGGCTTTTCTGCACTTCTGTGGAAGCTACTTTTATCTTTTATAGCATCTTAAGTTAATTTCTTGCAAAGTAAAGGAGTTGGAGAATAGTAGATCATAGATCAACCCCCCCGAGAAATCAGCACCTCACCGCAGTGAAAGGGGGTTATAGCAAATTGGTCTCAGGGGAGGAATCAGACAAAGAGCGATGGAAAACCCTAACAGAACAGCGTTCTCTGAGTCGGTTAACCTCACCTGGAAATGGGAAATTGGGGCTCTCTCTCTCAGAGCCAGGACTATAAGAGGTGTCTGGTGACCAGGTCAGTGTAGATGGGGCCTGTTTGGGCACAGCCAAAAAAAGATAACGAGGTTTAGCCCCCCTGTGGACCCACCACTTGTGTCGGCGGGCACTGGGGTTCGAGCATGTGGACCCTCAGCATCACAGACTGGTTTCTGGAACACTGTGAGGCATATGAAGGTGATTTATTGTCTCAAATTCATATTTAAAGATTTCAGTGCATATGATTATATTACCTTTTATTATATAGTTATATATGATGCAGTGTGGAGGACAAAACTATGTCCACCTCTCATTTCCACCTGTGCTTGCACTGGTGCGACAACACAGTTTTTGAGAGTTGAGGTACCCCAAACCTTCACGTCTTCTGATGTTATTGAGAAACTGTCACTGCTGTCTCAGTACAGGTGGAGGATATTTGACATTAGTGCGCTATCATCACAGCTTATGAGTCAGACTAACCTTGAAAGGAATCAGAAGGATAATTAATGAGAGAGAAGACAAAGAAGGGAAAGTGTTTGAAGAGAAGATTAGAAGTACAGAAAGACAAACAGGAAACCAGAATCAGATTGAAGGTGGGAGATGAGAGAGCTGATACTGAAACAGGAGGAGGATGGAGGCATGATGCTGCTGCCCTCCGTCTTGTGTGGGAGAGCAGCGATGAGGTGGAAAAGGCTCTTAAATCCGTCAGTCACGATTGATGTCAGACTGATGAGATCAGCCGGGAAGATGTACCCTCCGAGCCTCTCACCGCGGGGCGGCTGCTGGACGTGTCATACGCACTTCACTAAATGCTATGCCTTGTATAGTTTGATTGATCCTTTTAGTTATAATAGGAGACATGGGAGCTATGACCCCATTTAGACTCAGCCTCTATAAATGGACACGAGAGACTCAGCCAAAGGACAACGATTACATCTGTATAACAGGCTTCTTAGCTTATTATGACCTTCCTCTGACGCAGCGAGTGAGATGTTTAGAAAACCAGAAACTCTGGAAAATGCATCATCATACCTGCACTTGAAGAAATCCAAACCGGTGGTGTCAGGTGTGAGTTTTGTTTCATGCACAGCCACTACTCCCACCGCACTTCACTGAATAGATATTCCATGTTTTTAAAGTGGATGTGTACATTTATGTAATCAGCAGCAGCCTGTCATTTTCCCGTCAGATGCATGCTTCCTCTCAATCAATGAATCAAACCTGTGATTTATGTCTTTGCTGCAGCCCAGCATGAGCACTCACACATGCAATGAACTAATGCCACTGTAGAACATTAAAGTGAGATGATTTAAATCTGCTTCAAAAGGGCGGCGATTAGAAAATATGCTATGATTACTGTGTTTTCTGCAAAGGACTAAGAGCCTCTGGAACAGTTTTCCTGTCCACAGTAATGCTAGGGTGTCATTTTGAAATGTCCTCACATGTGTTGATGTGCTGAAGGAAAGTGTATGGGCTGTCACCTCTTTTTTTCTTTCTTTAAATAGCACTCTAATCCCTCATCTGAAGGAGCTGGCAGAAACGCAGTGGCATTTTATTGTTCTCTCAGTCTGAAGATGCCGTGATTCCCTCTTTTCCACCATCCTGAACTGGATCCAGGCAGGAAAATAAATTATACTTCCAAATATGCTGCAGAGCTCTGAAACCTGCTTTAAATTTAATAACCTTTTGCAGGCTGAAATCTGTAATCAGCAGGAAGAACCACTTTATTTGAATAAAAACTGAATTATCAGCAGGTATTTGGCATTCCTGTTCATTTCGTCTTTGTTGTTCAGAGTTATGTGGAAGGTTCAGTAAGTTTCAAATTAAAAGCGGACATATTTAGCCCGCGCCTGTTTGTGTGTTTTGTTTTGCTGAGCAGGCGTTTTGAAGTCGGTTGTGTCAGCCGCCCCATTAGAGTGGCGCTGTCGAAACAATGCCAAGGATGGAAGCAGGTGGATTGATTATTGTCATCCAAGTGTCAGCCTGATTGCAGGTGTAGTGTTAGGACAGTGGATTTGTGTAGATGAATGCAAGTCTTTGATGTGAATCTGCAGTTAATTTAATACTTCGACAGTATGTCAGTCTTTTACACCCACATGTCGTCGTGTTCCCCGACAGGATTATTACTAGCTTTTATAACAGGGTTGTGCGTACAAGATGGACACAGACACGAAGAACATGAAGTAGTGACTCCTGTAATGCTTCTTTGACGTTCTCCTGAATACTGCATGTGTAGCTGGAACTCATAGTGCAGCACCTACCTCTTGTCTGTGAGGGACATTTAGTTAGAAGAACAGTGGCTTAAATGAAGTTTGGTCTTAAAATTAAAGAAGCCGAAGCAGCTGGTTTTAGACAGTGAATATAATGGGGCACTACACCAGTATAAGATGATAAAGGATTATTTTGACCTGTGAATAATGTAAGGGATGTTGCTTGTTTTTGGACTCCACTTGAATTTAAAAAATGAGTATAAGGTGCTGGAAATGAGCATTCAGGCCTACTTTAACGACAGCTACTCTGAGTACTTGACTACTGTTTTTTTAGCATTGATTTACAATAATGGGGGCCTGCTTAACTGGTCAGTAATACTTGTAATCCATTTGTAGTCCATTTGGACTACAAATAATGAAAGATCAGGGTATACACTTCAGTGGCCACATCATTAGTCACACCTTACTGTATCAGGTTAGACTCGTTTTTACGTTCACAACTGCCTGTATTATTTGTAGCAAACATTCAACAAGGTGCTGGAAAGATTCCTCAGAGATTTTGATCTGTGTTGGCATGAAAGCATCACACAGTTGCTCCTGATTTGTTGTCCGCACATCCATGATGTGATCCTCCCATTTCAATACATCCCAAAGGGAAAGATTGAGATCTGGCGACTGTGGAGGCCATTTAAGTACAGTGAGCTGGTTGTCATGTCAGTTTTGTGACATGGTGTATTCTCTGGCTGGTAGATGGGTACACTGTGCTTGTAAGAGATGGACATAGTCAGAAACAATACTCAGGGAGGCTGATAAGGCTGATAAGAAACTATAATCCCCACCACCACCCTGAACCACAGATACAAGACACGATGGAAACCGTGGTTTCATGTTGTTCATGCAAAATGCTGAAGCGAGCCGACTGTCAGAGTTCTTCTTCATTCTGATTCTCAGTTTAAGCTTCAGTAAGTCGTCTTGATCGTCTCTACATCCCTAAATGTTCATTCGATTTTTGCATTAACCAGTTTATGTTGTTAATCTTTCTAGTCCTTTTTGTTTCTAGCTGTTTCATCGTGTCTGTCTTAATCTTTCATCTAATTATCCCACCTTAATAACTATGCTACTACTGCTTAGTGTAAGCCGGTGCAGTTGCAGCTAAAGGTCAGTCCCCTCGTGCCAGCTGGCTCCTGTCCAGCTCATCATCCCAAAGTAGTGGCTGTGCACTCTTGCATTTAAATATCTCCTACTTTGTCTTCATTTACTCTTCATCTTTTTTCTCCTCTTGATTCCTCCCCTCGTCCTCCGTTGCAGTTTGTGATCCTGTGTCGTGAGTGGAAAGCCGATTATCTCCCAGCACCACGGGAGACACGAGGAGCCGCTGTTCAGCTCGCGCAGCACAACGTCACGTTTTTGTCTTGAAGACACTTTATCTATAAAACTTGACTTAATAATATATTTGACTTTGCAACAGCACTATAGGTTTTCTTGCCAAAGAGTGTTGGCGGAAGTCTACTCTTAGATATTTAATGAGCTAATTTGCGAAAAGCTCCTCAATGCCGCACAGTGGTGTAGAGAATTTAGGGGTGGGCGGGGTTGGGTGCTTCTCCTCAACTTGAGGACAAAAATTGAAGTTGGCATGCTTCTACCTTAGCGAGGTGTTTCTAAATTAAACACAGAAGCTAACAAATATATCTTGTCAAATAAAATTACCGTATGGGAAATGTTGCTTTTTTTAAAAACCTGGAGCCACGATCCTGCTATAAAAAGCCTTTTTTAATTTGTTTTGTATTGTCTGTGGGTTTCTCTTCTCTTTTGTGTACAGATCAACTGTTCAAGATGAAAGTAATCGGCGCCGCAGTGCTCAGCGTCCTGTTCTGCACGGGTAAGCAAGAACATAATCAGTCACCAGGGAGAGAGTTTAGATAGATGAACTGTTGAAACAGACTTCCTGCAAAACCACATTTGTTTTAACTGGGTGATTAGCATGGATGCTGTGAAAGCCTCACCAAAGAAGCTAAAACACATTCTGATCTAGTTAATTTCCACTTATTTCCTTTCATTTCGCCTGTAATGAAGAATCTGGCTCTTTGTTTTTGCATCCAGTCTATTGTTAGCTGTCATTATTGGCGGCATTTACATTTCAAATGCTTTAATGCTTTCTGCGGAAGCTGTGTGGTTTTTCACTTGGAACAAAGGAAATGATTTAAAGGTTTTTTTTATAATCCAGCAGACTAAAAAGAAATGCGCATTCAAATAAACTCATTTTAAACTAATCTTTTGTTGTTTTCCCACAGTCTTGCCAGCATCTGCAAAAGGTAAAAATGGTTGTTTGGATGTTAATGCACGCCTGAGAACGCTCTTTGAGGATTATTATATTATATACATGACAAAGACAGTGTTTGTGCTTTCAGGTTAAAGCCAAGTATAAAAACTAACAAAAAGAGTAATTCAACATATCTAATAAAAACATCTTGATTGCTTCTACCAGTAAAAACGGAACACAGGACAGCTTTCTTTGGCGAGGACGTCCACATCGATGTCCCACGCGGGAATGGCAGCGAGGTCATCTTTAAATCTGCGACCAGCGAGTCCTACGATATGCCGCTGATCACAGCGGGGAAAGTGGTGAATCACAACATTTCCTATTCCAACACTTTGGGCTACCTGGTGCTGGAGGACGTGCAGGAGCAGAACGAGGGCACGTACATCATCAAGGACACCAACAATCCGAACACTGAAAGGCACTTCAAACTCATCGTCAAGGGTAAGCCTCCCTCTGTCTTCTTCATGTGCTTTAAGTTAGATTTTTTAAAATGTGGTTTGGAAACAGGAAAAACGCTGACACAAGAGATACGAAATGCGAAGGAGACATTCTGTGCAGGCCGGCAGTATAACTGTGAAAGAAATTATAAATGTTCTCTATGATCGGTCTTGATTTTTTAAATTTCACGTATCTTACAGCAAAGATTGTTCAACTCAGACCAGGTTTTACTTGCAGGAAGCCAGAAAATACAAATTAGTCACCATCTTAAAAGGAAACGCAACACGTCATGTTAGATGACTCAAAAGCGCTTTGGGGCATCTCATGTGTTTTTAAAAATGTGCTTTGTAAATAAAGTGACTTTACTTGACATAAGCTTGATAAGATACACACTGTGCTTTACGTACATGAAGATATAGGACCCATGTTGACAATAGTGCAGAAGAGAGGCGAAGAAGAGAGCGCTGACAGGGTGGAGTGAAGGGTGAAGACGAGTGTCAGGAGTGATTATGACTAAAGGATAGCAGCAAGAGTGAAGATGATAGCGAGAGGTGGTGTGTTTGCTGGGTTTTGTTTGGAGTTGGTGGTGCTGACAAAAAGACAGAAGCCAGAGGTGGAGGTGGCACAGATGGAGATCAGTGGAACAGCTCAGGTTAAGCAGGTGGAGACAAAGTCAGAGAACCAAGAGATGGTTTGTACATGTGCCGAGGTCAGATAGTAGATATGCTGGACAGACGATGGTAAAGATGGAGCTGCCAGGCAGGAGGAAAAGAGGAAGATGACACAGAGCATTCATGGATGTAGTGAAGGAGGACATGAGAGGGTTGGGCTCACTGAGATTTCTCCTGAGAGTTTAATATTTACACTGAGGTGACTTTTGCCACAACATGACAAATTTCTCATCTTTGACTGTTTGTTCTCTGTGTCGATGATCAGACTGCGCCTTGGAGCAAATTGTCAAATACGGAGAAACCTACTACATCCATCTTAGCAACATTAAAGGACCCATCACCCTGGAGTTCAGGTATGGTCATCAGAGTGAATCAGTACCAAAGCTGGAATCATTTTCTTTACAGATTGTTTGAATGTTTTGACTTAAACAAGAACAGTGTGATGAGAAGATCCTGGAAATGGTTAAAAACAAAAGCAAGCATGCCATAAAATCTAGAAAAAGGGAACACAAAGCAGAAATCTAGAGATAACAGATGGGTGGGTGACAAAAGCCAAAGGGCTGTATACACAGAGGACTGATCACACATTAGGAAACAGGTGGGAACATCCAGGGAAACATTAAGTAAAAGCACAGAAGACATACAAAGAAAAACAGTTACCAAAAACAAACCAGAAAGACACACATGACAGAGAGAGGGGACGACTAGAAACACACAAAGGAATAACAATAAAACAAATACAGAGGCTGCTCTCCAGCTCCTTCTGTGTTACATCTATTGTGTGTTGAAATAAGCCAGAAATGAATTAATAAAGGGAAGAAGAAACAGGGCGGTTAACATCTCTGGAAACATCCTTAATCGCAGTCACTGTGTTACTTTATCTGTTCTGTATTATTCTGATTTTTCACCATTTTTAGGCCCAGTCCGTCTCAACTTAATCAGTCAGAGACGCAGTACACAACCGAGCCTCCACCTGTGGTGCTGTACGACCAGACGGGTGTGTTGGCAGAAGAATACATGAAACGCCTCAGCGTGTCGGAGAAGCGTGTGGTGCTGCACTCGGTCAGGATGACAGATGAAGGCAGCTTTACAGTAAAAGACAGCGAGGGCAAAGTCAAGATTCGGACCTGCCTGAATGTCAGAGGTAAGTGAAGATCTGAGCTTTACAGCATCCTGTCGGCTTTAATCGATCACTCGGTGTTAAAGTGAGTCATTCTGTGTGCGTGCAGATGCTTTGTGCCTCTGACTTCCTGTCAGTCAGTAGCTCTTTTCTTTGTATTTTACTTAAATTCTACCACAGCTCTTGTTTATTTTCCCCGAACGTATTTGCACTTCATGTATTATTTTTTCTGCTTGGCCCAACTGCAGTGACTCTGCCACCCAACTGGGGTTTGTGTGTTTAGTTCTTAACCACACAAGCCTAAGGCTACACTTTTAAAATTTTGCCTGAGGAGAAAAAAATCCAATTTAGTCAATAAAATAAAGTGTCAGGTAAAAATAAGTAACCTTGGGCTCTATGCATGAAAAAAACTTTTGATGCACAGTAAGGCTAATTTTAAGTATTGTTAGTTCAGAGTGTGATTTGAAATAGAGATTATAAAGTTTTTGCAATATTTTTCTACCTAATCAAAAGTGACAAAAAAGCCATGAGACAATCATTCAGCTGGTGTTACTGAACCTGCTTTTAATAAAGTCTTAACTTCAGCTCTTCTAATATGTTCCTGAGGAAATAAAAAGCACTCAATCCTGTGTTTACTGCAGTCACAGTAGTAACAGATGGCCTCCTCAGTTATTGTGTTGTGATTGGCAGTCTCCAATTTTCTCTTAATAAATATGTCCTGGAACCAGAAAAAGGGTCTCTAGAGGTTAAGTAGCTGAGTAGCTCGATGTGCCCGTCATTTATTAAAGCCTCCATAGTTTTTAATAAGTGATTTGCTTTTTGTGCTTTTCAGGTTTTCCTAGATTTTCGCTAAATGGTTGTGTTGGCTGAGTGCCACTGTCTTAAAATCCTTAATCTCAGAAAAGGTCAAAGTCTTTATTAAATATATTAAAAAAAAAGGTTAAACCCACCTATAGGGATTCTGAGCTCAATCAAAAACACATTTACTTTGGTGAAGGTTACAGAGCCAAAATATTACAACTGAAGACTGATAAATATCACCGAAATTAAAACACCGCTGAGTTTCTACAGCAACACAAGAGCTTCTGTGAGGTTGGTCTTTGAGCTAAATGCCAACATTTGCATACTTTCATGCAGATAATGTAGTTATGTACCATTTTAATTAACTAGTATTATAACAATATACGGCTAAGCCTCGTGGGAGACTTTATTATGAGTAATATAGATGTTCTTTTTCATAACTGTGTGGTTTTGTGTTTCAATGTCATGAGTAATTTATCTCATTGGGAGGATGAATGTCCACCAAATTTCATTAATAAAACTCATTAACCTCTAATCAGTTCATCCCATATTTCAGTCCAGCCTCAGTGCAGCAGACTCATTGAATGAATGATTGATATGTTGCTTCATACTCAATAGTTTCTCCGTGCTCCACCAAGTCAGAGTGGGGTCCTTCCTGCCCACTGCTGTTTGTTGGGGGTGTGAAAGGGAACTGAAACGCAGGACTCACAGACACAAAATAATAGAGTGAAAACAAATTTTTTTATTTGGAGTTCATAAATGAGGCTCAAAATGCAAAACAGATGTTCAACACACTCAATTGCAGGAACCTAAGAGGGAAAATTAACAGTTGCTGATACAAAGGACGAAGGGAAACTGGGGCTATATAAACACAGACACTGAGGGTTAATCAGGGAGTTAGACACAGCTGAGCCTCAAAGCACAGGTGAAACTAATCAGGAGAACGACACAAGGGAAGTAAAACTAAATTTAAAACACAACTAACTAACAAACTAAAACAGAAAGGAACTAAACAGGGAAACTGAAGACACAACAGTAAACTCAAAATGAGAAGTCAACAAAAGAAGAACCCGAGGAAACTAATACTTTTGTACGAGCAGTAACTGTAACTAAACGTAAGAAACAAAAAGATAATGTAAGATATGAAGACTCAAACAGAAAACCAAACAGATATTAATCTCTGGCTCTCTGCCACTGCGTGTCTTTTATCCTGTCTTCCTTCTCTCATCCCATGCAGCAGATGGCCCCGCCCCTCCCTGAGCCTGGTTCTGC